AGTTAGCAAAAAGTTCCTTAAATAATCTTTGACTTCATCAGATTAACCTTTGACTTCATCAAATCCACAAAATCTTCGTTTTATCAAATGATTCAATAAGATCTTCATCACTTTTAATTAATTGAAAAACTCCTAAGTTTCATACATTGAGACATTTCTTAACTAACACAATCTAATGATGCGAAGTAGATGCACGTGCAACATTGGGACATGTTCTTCTGCTATGACCAGGGGTATGACAATATGAACATTTTTTAATCCTACTTTGATTTTTTGTAATGTCCATCTCAGTTCTTATATAAATTGATTTTGGTTGGCCCTTTGACGTTCTTTTCATTTCTGGATTTGCACACAAAGTAGGTCCTGTGTATATTGACCAATATTCTTCATTTCCTAATAACCCAAATTGTGTTCCGTATATCTTTGAAACTTGTTGTAAGATATACACTGAATGAATATAGTTGTTGAAGTCATGGTGTGCATGCTTTCATGCAGCAAGAACATGTGAACAAGGCATGTGAAATTTTTGGAATTTCCCACAGTCACACCGTAACTCATCAAGGCGAACTGCAAACTTCCCTGCTGGTCGAACTTCACGGGGGGTTTTGTGTTTCTTCTACTACAAATTTTGTGGTAGACCTGTCAAAAGTTATGACCCTATGCGTGTTTGCCTGTGTTTGTGCTTCCTCTAAATTTGTGACCAAAATTTCAGAGTATACATGACCAGCATTGATCATGGCATCCATCTGCCTCCCTCTTTCAATGAAAAATTTGTTGCAGCGGGTGTACGTTGCGTTGACCATGGAGCAAATAGGTAGATTTCTTGTTTTTTTCAAAACAGAGTTGATAGACTCTGCTATGTTGGTCGTCATGTGGCCCCAACGTCGTCCATTGTCCCATGCAAGTGCCCATTTTTCTCTAGGTATCTCATCCAACCAATTAGCTGTTTTTATGTCACATTGCCTCAAGATGTTGTAATAATAGTAAAATCGTGGTTCAGTCATCCCATACGCTACAACAATATTAAAAAAACATAGTTAATATAAATATTTATTAGCAACAATTAAATAATGAATAAATTGTAACAAATTTAAAGCAAAGGAATTACCCATATTTGCAACATCTTTCCTCAGTGCGGTGTTTTTGAAATGTCTCATAAAATTCTGTGCAATGTGTCTAATGCAGTAGACATGCACTGAATTATTTTATGTCCATCCGCTTCCATTTCTCATGTATGCACTTCTAATGGATTCATGTCGGTCTGATATGAGGCATAATCCTTGCTAGGGTGTGACATATCTTTGAAGGTTTTTTAAGAAAAAAAACCAGGCATCACTTGTTTCACCTTCAACCACTGCAAACGCAATGGGGAGGATGTTGTTGCGGCCATCTTGTGCTACTGCAACCAACAAGGTACCTCTATATTTTCCATACAAAAAAGTTCCGTCCACTTGAACAATGGGCTTGCAGTGAACAAATCCATCTATGCATGGCCTAAACGACCAAAACACACGTTTAAAAATATTTGAATTTTGTTGAAGGACTTCACCTTGGTAAGCTGGTTGTGACTGCAATTTGTAGATGAATCCGGGAACAAATTGTTGCATGACTTGTAACAAACAAGGCAAATTTTTATACGAATCCTCCCAATTGCTGTAGATGATCTCCACTGCCTTTTGTTTGGCCAACCAGGTCTTCCTGTATGTTATAGTGTAACCCGTTGTTAATTGGATGTGGACTATGATTGTGGAGATTGGTGTTGACGAATCAGCATCAATTATTTGACCAATTGTTTGGAAAATCATTTTATATCCCAACTTGTTGTGGTCTTGGCTGATTAATGGCGAAACGCATGTATGGTGCCCTTCAAGCTTCATAATCATCCAATATTTCTCTCTTGTGCGCAATATTGCTCGACATCTCCAATTGCATTGGTTATCAACACATTTAACAACATATTTACTTTGGTTTGAAATTTTCACCTTGTATGTGAAGTGATTGACAATGTGAAAGCGGTTGATGACATCTTGAACTTGTTCTTTTGTTATGAAACGTTGTCCAAGAAATAGAGTTCCTGTCGGAGAAACAAAAGACTCTTTGTCCAATACATGACCATACTTTGGGTCTTGTTGTTGAATGTGACTTTCAAAGTTAAGAAAATGTTGTGGTGGGTTGTATGGTTCCATGAAGTTTGGTGCATGTGTAGGGATATGTGGTTGTTCGTCCTCTGAATCATCTTGGTATTGGCTAAGAATTTCATCTTCGTCTTCATACTCACTAAAAGGATCAACGACTTCAATTGGGAGGCTAACAATTTTATTCTCTTGTGTGGGTAGTTCTTCGTTGATGTTGGTGGAAGACCCACTTAGAAGTTGGGTAAAAGGGATGTAGTCATTATGTGTGGGTATTTCTGGGTCAGTGTTTAGGAAAACTTGGTAGGGTGAGGGTGAAATTTCTAGTGAGTGTGTGCTGGGGTATGAAGAAGAAGAAGTTTTAAATGAAACAAAAATTTCAATACCACATAGACTTGAGTTTGAATCATGAACATCGAACATGACCTCCACGTCGTCATCATCTTTCAACTCAACAGCAATGAAGTTGTTGATCCCAACTCCGAGTATAGTTGGGTAGCGAAAATGGATGGTTGCTACATTTTCGTGGGGTTCTTTCTCCAATTTCTTGTGGATCAACTTCTTCAACCTTTGTAGAGAAATTCCTCTCTTTAAAGGAACAAGTTTTGCAGTCTCAGTATTGAAGGTAACTCCCTCCATGGGACATGGGTTCATGAAACCATCATAGTGGACAATAGTAGACATTACACCCATTTTAGGAATGTGGAACACAAAGAAGACTAAAGGTAAGAAGAAGAAATAATGCAAATAGCTTAAGAGATTTAGGAGTGTGCAATGTGAGAACTTCAAAGAATGAAAGTGGTCTATTTATAATGAAGTCCATTGGTTTGAATCCAATGCTCCCTCACATGGTTTCTGACGCACACAAAACCCAAGCAAAGTGGGTGGGTCAACATCTCTTTAAATATGTTTGGATTCTTCTACTTTTGTCTAACCCAATGCAGGGAATCCAAGATTGGAATCCTAACTTGGGTGGGTGACTCAACATTGGATTCTTTACTTGTGTGCATCAGAAAGACATGGGAATCCTGACTTGGGTGGGTGACTCAGCATTGTAAATAATTGCAGGTTTCCTCGCTCAAGCGATGAGTTTCTCGCTTGAGCGAGAATTGACCACAAGCTAAACGTCCAACGCAGTTAGCCACATAATGCAACTTGGGTCACCACATATTTCAATCACTTCTTGCTCAAGCGAAAGTGCCCGTCGCTTGAGCGAGAATTGACCCGAGATTACCCATTTGTTACAGGTCTCCTCGCTCAAGCGAAGGGTTTCTTCGCTTGAGTGAGAGAGAAATAATCGATCATAATTTTGTATATTCGATTATTTTTAAATTATGATCGATTAGCTCAAATTATAATCGATTATAAACTCTTTCGCTCAAGCGATGGATGTCTCGCTTGAGCGAGAATTGACCACGGTCCAACGCAGTTACCCAATCAATTTTCGCTCGAGCGAAGTAACCTCTCGCTTGAGCGAGAATTGACCACAGGCTAAACGTCCAACGCAATTAGCCACATAATGCAACTTGGGTCACCACATATTTCAATCACTTCTCGCTCAAGCGAAAGTACCCGTCGCTTAAGCGAGAATTGACCCGAGATTACCCATTTGTTACAGTTCTCCTCGCTCAAGCGAAGGATTTATTCGCTTGAGTGAGAGAGAAATAATTAATCATAATTTTGTATATTCGATTATTTTAAAATTATGATCAATTAGTTCAAATTATAATCAATTATAAATTTCTTCGCTCAAGCGATGGATGTCTCGCTTGAGCGAGCATTGACCATGGTCCAACGCAGTTACCCAATCAATTTTCACTCAAGCGAAGTAACTCATCGCTGAGCGAGAATTGACCACGAGCTAAACGTCAAACGCAGTTAGCCACATAACACAACTTTGGTCACCACATATTTTAATAACTTCTCGCTCAAGCGAAAATATACGTCGCTTGAGCGAGAATTGACCGAGATTACCCTTTTGTTATAGATTTCGCCATTCAGCCGAAGAGTTTCTTCGCTGAGCGAGAGTTGATCTTACGCGAAATAATCGATCATAATATAAAATAATTGATTATTTTAATACATGAAGAATAAAGAATGTTAATAGTGTAAATAATATTTCAGATGTACTAGTTTAGAAAATATTTATAAAAATAGAATTATTTATAAAAAAAAGTAGTTGCCATCTACCTCCAGTCCTCTCTCTCCGTTTGAACCACAACATGTGAATGAAAAGTTCAACTTCAAATTATTTATTGAATTAAAAAAGCATTTTTTAATACCGAACAAAAATATCTGTTGCATATTTGCATTTTGAATGGCTTGTATTAAAATTGTTCAACAAAACATCATCATTTGTTTGTTTGTGCATGTTTATTGAGCATTAAGGAAGATCATGCTTCGATTGTAGTCGACGTGAACTCATAGCCTCAAGCTCATGGCCCATGAATAATATGTGTCTGGACTTTGTTCCAAGAGGCCCACATAATTAAGTCCTAGCTGGACTAGAGAGATTCTGATTCTCAAGATTCAGCTATCATATGAACAAGATAAATGACAAGAGAATATGGTTTAAACGTTTTTGTTTTATTTAACTTTTATTTTGTGATATCCAATGGATTAACGTCTTTCATGTGGACACCATTATTCTACTACACCCTACCTGAATCACTAGATGAAGCAAACTTACGTGCCTCACGTTACGCTTAATACTCCAACCTCATCCCCTTCTCGCAGTGTATTCAGAAGCGCATCACTAAACGACAACAACCGCTTGCGTTTAGAACCGTTTAGCACCTCCCGAACTTTGAGGAGAAGTATAGTCAGCGTCGTTTTCACTCGCGACTCGCAACTCGCCCACGAGCGGCGATGGAGTCTGTCCACAGCACCGCCGCTCCCCGCGCCTTCCTGCCGTCGATTTCCAAGCCCAAGCCCAGGGTTCCCCACACGAAATCCTTCCCCGTCGGCTGCGCGCACGACTTTCCGAGATTTTCTCTGAGCCGCGTTCTATCGGGAAACAAACGCGCGGTGGCGGCGAACGTGGCGGGGAAGGAGTTAGACGTGATATCGGTGCAGAGTGACGATATTACCGACCAGCAGGAGGGCGTGGTGGTGAGTCGCATCGAGATTGATGGTGCAGACGGCGAATTGGTGACTCAGGTGAGCGGATTTGGAGCGAGCGACGGTTTTTTGTCGTTGGAAGGATTTTCATCTTCCTCTTCGCCGTCTTCTTCGGCGTTGGCTGGGAGTGAGGGCGAGGAAGACGTGGAGAAGCTGATTGATAGAACTATCAACGCTACGATTGTGCTCGCCGCTGGTGCTTTCGCCATCACCAAACTTCTCACCATTGATAGTGATTACTGGCATGTAAGTGAAAACACGGAACCGAGATAAGTGCTTATCTTCAATTCACTCGGTTTTATTTTTCAAAAAAAGGTTTGATTATTTATTATTTTGTTCTTTACTTTGAAGTAGTTATTTCTTCTAAACATGAACACGCATGATTAGTTTGCTAATTTAGATGAAATAGGTACTAGTTGAAAGTTGATTATTAGTTTTTGGATTTAATAGACTGCTAAACGAGAAAGAGTTTAATACAGTGATAAAACTTAGTTACAGTAGTTCATTAGGTGTTGTTACTGCAATTCTCCTATCAGAATTACAAGAGAGTAGAAGTTTGACCTCGTTAATCTATATTGACATTTAATTTATACCTTTATTATGGAGATTATGAACCTGAAACTGTAACCTAGATTGGGGAACCTTATCAGAAGCAGCTAAAAAACTGTATCTAAGATTTGTTGGTTTTTACTTCGGATAACTTTATATTTATTTTAAAAATTAACAAACTTACTTACCTTACATTATGGTCTGTATTTAGATGATAGTATAAAAAACTTTACATTGTAAATGTATGTATTTTGTATTATTTATTCTTAGATTTTGGATTGAGGTTTTCATGATTTTCTATTGCTTGTGATTTTCGATATCATATAGGGATGGACGTTATATGAGATAGTAAGATATGCGCCTCAGCACAACTGGTCTGCTTATGAGGAAGCTCTCAAGACAAATCCTGTTCTTGCCAAGATGATGATTAGTGGGATTGTTTACTCTGTAGGGGACTGGATTGCACAGGTGAGTTTGTGTTATTTGTACACTCGATTACTTCAATTTTGTGTTAAAATAAAGGCTTGTGTGTACATCAAAAATAAGAAATAAAAGATAATGCATTGCGGTCTAACAATTCCTGGTTTTGCAGTGCTTTGAAGGAAAACCTCTTTTTGAGTTTGACCGGGCACGGATGTTCAGATCGGGATTTGTTGGTTTTACTCTTCATGGTTCTCTTTCTCATTACTATTACCATTTCTGTGAGGTAGTGCATAGTGCATAATGATGATGCTCTTTTTTGTTTCTTCCGTTTGGTTATTGAAATTTCTGTTTTGATGTACTAAGCGGTTTTTCATTTAACCAGGATCTATTTCCTTACAAAGAATGGTGGGTGGTTCCTGCTAAAGTTGCCTTCGATCAAACTGCTTGGTCAGCAATTTGGAACAGCATATATTACACAGTTGTTGCATTGCTACGTCTTGATCCTCCTATCAGTATTTTAAATGAATTGAAGGCTACATTTTTTCCCATGTTGACGGTGAGAGAGCGTTCTGGCTTTTCATATTAATTTCATTGAAATAATTATTTTTCTCCGAGAACAACCTAGAACACGGGCACACCATTTTGGTGTTGTGTATGTACCACTACTACATACTGACCTCACATGTCTGGCAAGCATAGTTACTTGTCCAGTTTATCTAATTATTTGGCTTATACGTGGAATGGATGTTGCTATTTGAAATTTTAATACTTTCCTATATTTTCTTACACAGGCAGGTTGGAAGCTGTGGCCATTTGCACATCTCATAACTTATGGTGTGATACCAGTTGAACAAAGGCTTCTTTGGGTGGATACCGTAGAGCTTGTTTGGGTGACCATACTTTCCACGTATGTTAATCTGGATTTGTTTTGAATTACTACTTATCAGAATTTGAACATTAATAACTTCATACAATGATTCTTGAATTTCCATCGGATGCTGTCGTAAATTGGGATGAAATTTGGTCTTATTAAGATTGGCCTTTACATTTTAGTTTTTATTCCTGCATGCATTTGAGTTTTGAGAGATGAATTCTGCATAGAAGTTTTCCCTTGTATAATGGACAAGCAGATCTGTTGGAGGTAAACTTGTACTTTCTGCCTGCTGCACATTATTCTCCTAGATAATACATAAGATGGCTCTAACTAATTGTTTTGAGAATATTTTATTTTATTTTCTTTCTGGAGGATGGAGGGAGATTTTGTATGACTGGTAATTGGCAAATTCACCTGGTTCTGCAATACTTGCTCTGGGAATACCAACGCTGATTGATTTTAGCAGTCTAAAATTTTAAAATTTTCCAGTTTTACCTGCATTTTCATGTGAAAATTTTGCATTGGTTCTAACCTAAGCTTTTGTGATCAATAGATTTTCAAATGAAAAATCAGAAGCAAAAAGTTCTGAGTCTACGGTGCCTACGGAAGTGAAATCATCTACATCTATTCGGCCTCCTGAGGTACATGATTAATGGTTATGTGAGCTTATTTATTAAGTTGAGTAAAAAAGTAAATATTTATTTTGCTCTTGGTCTGTTTTTATAATATTTTCTTATGTTTTATCAGGAGTAAAGAGTATAGAAACGATCGGCAACAGTGGGAGAAAAATGACCTTGCACAATCAGATTTTTTTCCTTGATGTGGACGTAGATATATAATCGCGGAACTTAAAAAGCTAATTGTACACATGTAAATGTTTCATGATAAATATGATTGAAAAAGCCCAAACAAGTCAAACTATAACCAAATAAAACACAATTTTAAATTATTTAAAATACAGAAACCAACGAACTAACTTTCCGTCATTTAAAACATGTCAAACGCTTTTAGTTTTTGAACTCTTTCTATTTACGGTGGATTTTATGATGAAAAAAAGAGTAGATTTAATGATTGGGAAGGAAAAATATGTGTTCCATTTATTAAACTCTAATCCTTTATGGAGTTAAGGGCGTTGAGAAAAATTTATGAGATGTTACTTGATGAATTGAGTTTTTATTACGATGGACCATATATATCAACCAGTGAAAAGGTTTGCGGAGGAAGTGCATGCACGTTGTAACGATTTTTTTTTTTAATATAATGTATTAAATTATAATATTTTTTAAATATTTAAATATTTTTATAATAAAAAATTGTTATTGTTAAATTACTATAAAAACAAATAAATATTTACTAAAATAAAACTAAAATCTATATAATAGTTTAAAAAAATTAACTAAAGATAAAAAAATAATTAATTAATTGAAAGAAAAAGGAAAAGATAAAAAGTAAATGCTAGGATGTTTAAATAAAATATAGTTGATTAAGTATGTCTTATTTTTATCAAAATTTAAGAAAAATAATTATTTCTTAAATTATAATTAAATTAATAACTTAATAAAAATTACATTATACAAATGGTTACTTTATAACTTCTTTGGTTAACATTTGATTAGTCTAATATCTTTTAAAAATTCTCTAAATATAATGTCAAAGCATATGTAAACGTGAGTAATACATATGCTTCTTATTAGAGGGGTGATGTGAGCATCTAATCAACATCCATACAAAATAATATAATAATAAATGATAATAATAATACTATATATGTATATGTAGTGGTAGGATGAATGTATTTTTAAAACCCGTTGTCAGAAAAAAGAAATTCCTCTTCTTATTACTATTGAAGTATATAAAATATTTTTTTACGTAATTCTGATTAAGGTTATTTTTTGAACACTCTCTTAATTTAAGTTTATCATCTTGTGTGATGGAAGTTACACTTGATAACTTATCTTTTATGATAATTCTTTCCAAAACCATTATGTATAAAGAAACTAGAAACGAATTGTTTTAAATAATGTGAATTTGATTCTTTAACATTTACACTTTAAATAATTTAAATGTGTTTTTTAGTTATCGATTGATGTGTTTAGGTTCAATAGTATTTTATCATTTGGAAGTAGAGTCATGTTAATCCTCTACTTTGTTTTTGTTTTTGCTAATTTTTGGTTATATGGGTGTTGCATTTTTTATCCCGTAATTTTCTTTTAAATTGAGGAGGAAGAGGATAATACATTGTCTAAAGTTTTTTAATTAAAATGATAATTGTTTTCCCGTTATAAAATGGGTCAAATCGATCCATCTCAAGTTAGAAGACAACATAAACTCAAGATGTTAGTACTTTTATATGAATGCGTTATTATATGTGGTATATGAATTTAAATTTTGGTGGTATTTGTTTCTTATTTTATTTAAAATATTTTTTTTGTTCAACATCGATTAAAATATGACACTTGTATTTGATAATCAAAACTGTTACATGAGAGTATTAGACAACCACTGACTTATGTGATTTTGTTATATATTTTACTATGGTGTGTATTTATTATATTCAAATACTAGTATAATACTTAAAAGTATTATTGTTTGGTCGTTTCCTGCAATTTTATTTGATGTTAATATAGTTTTTTTAGAGAATATTAATTATGTTAAATATAATTTTAATGAATTAGAGAATAGTCACATATTTTAAGATCACATTAAAAATATTAATTATAATTAATTATATATAATATGATAAAAATTAACATAAATTTTATTATATTTTGATAAAATTAAGATAAAATATTATATTATATTTCTTAATCTACTCGTAAGATTTAAAAAATAATTTAATAATTTTGTCTTACAATTATATTATATGATAAATTTAATTGAATAATACTTTATTTTATAAATAGGTTTTATGTCGTTAGATTTATGAATTAATATATGTTTATTTTGATGAAACTGTGACATTTATTTTAGTTTCAAATTATGAGATGATAATAATGTATTTTGAATTTTGTATTTTTTCAATATGTAAATATTTATAATATTAAGTGTGATATTTTTAGTTAAATGGTAATAATAATAAAATATGGAAGGAGATAAATCTTTATTTAACATGATAATGTTAAGGATTTATTGAGTGTTATAATAAACAATTTTCAATCTATAATAAATATCTTGTTAACACTTTTATAATGCAAGTTCCATCCATGGAAGCTTACTTAAATAAAAGAGTGTGTGATTATATCACGTACAAGGGATATTGTAGCTTAAGTAAAAACTTTGAAAGTTATCATATTTGATTCTTTATTGATTTGCTATATTTCATGTACCTTGCCTCATCCATATATTTAAAATATCATATACCATACAATAAGGATAAATATTTTCTTAATGAATTATTGACAATGTGTCTTCAATAAATGAAAATGTTACTAGTGGAAGAAGGGAAAACGTGAACTTGACTACCTTTGTCAAATGTAAGAAGAATCAAGTAAACAAAAAGAGAAAGATTCATACTCAACCAATTATAAAGGAAAAGTCAAAATGTCTCTTTTGTAAAAAGAAGAGACATACTAAGAAAAACTGAAAAAAAAATTATGAATTGACTAGAGAAAAAAGATAATCCATTTATTTTTATTTGTTATGAATCTAATATGATTATTTTTAATCATAAAATATGGTGGATTGATTTTGGTTCTACAATTCATATTTCTAATATCTTAAAGGGTATGAAAAATCTAAGGAGATAAGTGAAACGTGAACAATACATCTATTTAGAAAGTAAAATAAATTGATAGGTGAATGTTATTAAAATGTGCAGTTTAGTTTTAAGTAGTGATTTAATTTTACATCTAGAAAATACTTTTTTATGTTCCTAGTATTTCTAAGATTTTGATTTCCATTTCAAGGCTAATAGCTTTGAGTTTTTCCTTTCATTTTTTGGATTTTGGTTTTGCATTATCAAATAAATTTAAATTTGTTCGTCTTAATGAACTACGTGATGATTTTCATTCCATTATTTTACAAATAATAATTTTATGCACGTTCCAATTGAGTTAAAATTATGTTGTGAATGAAGAATCTCCAATGTCTTTAAGGATGATTCTTTGGATGTCTTTAAGGTGTAATTATCCGTAAAACGAAGTAAGTTTATATATTATGAGTAAATTATCTACAAAGATAATAAAGTATTTCAATCTACTTGTGTCCATGTCTAAACAACAAATAAATGTATGAATAATCTCTAATAGGTTTGAATCTCTCTTTGTAGTAGATTTTGCTTGTTTACCCTTAATGTAATCCCTAGAAGTCTCAAATTACTAAAGTCCAAAGTTCTAAGTACTTACTTATTTATTCATTAATTACTTAATTCTCTCAATCTTCAGTGTCATAACTGTTACGAATCAGAGTAACTGCATAATAACTCATAACTAAAATAAAAGATAAGAAAAAGAGAAATAAAAAAGATAAGAAAAAGAGAAATACAACCGACAATAGGAAATAATAAAATTTTACTACTGGAAGAAATTATAATACCCTCTTTAAATCTAAGGAGAAAACAATAATAACATTCTCTCTCAGAAATAAGAGACTAAACTACTATGCAATGTACTAGTAGAAAAGAAAAGGAAGATATTGTACTCTTTTTATAATAGGAAAAATAAGCACCAACATATAATTTTCCTGATATAGGACTTCTCTTTTCACATTCTCACAATCTCTCACTTGAAGATTTTGATTAAATTAATCAAATCTTCACAATACATTATTAATGTCTTCCATGTTGTTATTGCAATAGACATTTAGTAGGATCGCCTCTATGAAAACTTGTCATTGCTAATCGACTATCATAACATCTGACTTCCATGTTGAAAATCTTCTTCCTTCTTCCAGTTTTACTCCAATTATGCTGACAATTATGCTCCTTACTCTTGTATCAAGGTATTCTCGAATTCATCCTATATTGGGAGAAAAATAGATTAGAATTAACATAAGTAGTTTCATAACAATTTAAGGCATAATTATATCAACTTTTTACCACTTAACAACTCCCCCCAAACTAGAATCTTACTTGTCCCAAGCAAAGTAATTTTTTCAAAACAAAATCATTGCCTATTATCACTTTATCTTCCAGAACCACAACATAAAAAAAATTTCAGGTGTGATGCTCACAACTCTAAATGAAAAATAAAATACATAAGCATTCAAGTTATAGAAACTAACAAAGAATAATTAGTCCTCAACTATCCTCAGAGAAGCATGATATCTCAAATAGAGTTAAATATAATCATCTCTAATTCTCACAGGTAAGTGTTTATCTCATTCAATCACTTCATTTAGACAATCTAATATTGATAATCATCTTCAAATAATCAACATTTGTTAAGCAAGACTTAAATCAAAAGGTCTTTTGAGCTTGTAATGGGGTTGGGCTAAGAAAAATTCATTGGTTTTTTTGGGATATACAAAAGTATTTGAGAAATTCAAATCATATGAATGATTCTTGATTAACATTTCCTCAAGTCAGGCTTCAAACTTCATGCTTTTGTCCCTAACATAATGATAGTGAGTTAATAATCTCACAAGTTATTATTCCCCCCTTTTGACTTTTTTTTTTCTTTTCTCATGCTTTTGCATGTATCATTTTTGGCTTTGC